TGGCTGGGGGAGACCCCGCCCACCTCTGCGGGAACCAGTCACGGCTCTGCATGAGAGGGAAAGTAGATGGGCCTGTCCCTCGGCGTCGTGGAGCCCACTGGGAAATGTAGTCCCGGGCCCGGGAGGGCGGGCCTGGAAGGAGGAGGAGAGTGCCGGGGCGGGGCCTTGGGGCGGCCAGGCAAGGCAACACACCCCTCTGCTGTTTGGAGTCGGCTCTCTTTTCTTCGCCGAATGAGGAGATAGCGGTTTTTATAGAGGGAAAGTAGATGGGCCTGTCCCTCGGCGTCGTGGAGCCCACTGGGAAATGTAGTCCCGGGCCCGGGAGGGCGGGCCTGGAAGGAGGAGGAGAGTGCCGGGGCGGGGCCTTGGGGCGGCCAGGCAAGGCAACACACCCCTCTGCTGTTTGGAGTCGGCTCTCTTTTCTTCGCCGAATGAGGAGATAGCGGTTTTTATAGCCTGCCGCTCGGCTTCGTTTTCCTACGGAGTGGAGTGCGGCGCGGGAGGGCTATGGACCGAAATGACTCTGGCCGAGGCGTCCGGGCTGAGGCGTACCGCTTTTCGGAGGGCCGCGGTCAGCAGGCAGGATCGTCATGGAGGTGTTCGCCTCGTCTGTCCCGAGCTGGTTATAGCTGGCGGCTCGGACAGGGCTCTGGCACGCACACAGGAAGGCACTGGTCAGTTGTTCACGTTTTCCAGATCCTGAAGAAGCGGAGATTCTTGTCGTTTCGATTGGGGTGAGGGGTTGTGGAGTTTATGCACCTGTAGTCAAAGCTGCTGAGCAAAATCAGTTCTGGTAGCGTTACGTCTCCCTCTTCCCTTCCCAAATGGTAATTTAGGCCCGGAGTTTTGTGATTAGATAGGAAATAAATGTAGCTCCAATCTCTTCTTCCTATCATGCGCAGTTGTAGAAGACTGCTGTTTAGAAAGAAGAGAGTAGCTCCTGGCTACGAGGATGTACCTCATTTTCCTACTCCCACCTCAAGCCACTTTCCTTATTTTTCCCTTCATTCTCAAACTCAAAAGTCGAGTAGGCACTCTCTACTCCTTATTGGATTCTGCTTTCACCAACCTTCTCAAACTGCACCCCAAAAGTTGCTAGTACCTACTAGATTTTGAGCCTAGTAGTCCTTGTTTAGATCTTACCTTTTTTTTTCTTAGTTTTCCATAGGGCTTATGAGAGACATAGAAAGTGAGAAAGCACCCCTTGGGGGGATGTCCATGCTACAATTCCCTCCCTATTCTCCTTTAGAGATTTTGGTCACACAAACACGCTCAGAGTTTTTTCAAGCCACCAGGTCCTGTAGTGGAACAATACAGTGAACCACGTGGGATATTAGCCACCTTGAGACTATGCCATCAGTTGTCCTTAAATCTCATCTTGCTTAGCTTGCTGACCAGTGACTCCTCTTACTTGATCCCCCCCCCCTTTTTTTGTTACTTCTTTCTTGTGATTTTCAGGCCACCAGGTCCAGGACTTGAACCATGAAACTGGCCATATGGGAATACAGCACCTTAACCAGCATACCACCTTCTGGATCCCAAGGGTTGCTCTTTAAAATGTTCTTTTCTTGGTGTAAAGAACCCTTGACCATAGGGAACCAGCAGTTAGCGTAATGTCGCTGGACTCCCACATAGTCGACTGCGGTTCGCGTCCCGGACCCAGTGGCTTAAAACTCACGCCGGGTGCGTGTGTGTGCGTGCCCAAGATCCCGAGAGGAGAATGGAGGAGAAGGGATTGCAGCGTGACCATCCCCCCTGAGGGGTGATTTCTCGCTTTCTGTCTCTCTGTCTCGTCTCTGTCTGTCTGGCAAGCCCACGTGCCCTATAGCGAAAGCGAAAACCTCTCCAAAAAAAAAAAAAGAACCCTTGACCACGTTCGTCCTGGTTCTGCTCCTATACATATGAACCTCCAATATACCTCCACTTTCTCACAAAGACCTTATTCTCAAAGGGTCCCCAATGCTTTGCTTTTGTTTTTTGTTTTGTTTCGTTTTGGGTTTTTTTCTTTTTTTTCCCATAGGACTTGTGTGCTTGTTGGAGAGAAATATGAAATACAGAGACAGTGAGAGGAAAAGAGAAATCATCCCTAGGGAGGATGGTCATGCCACAGTTTCTTCTCCTGGGTTTTGGGCACACACATATATGTGCACAGAGTGATTTTTTTTTTAGAGAGAGATTTTTGCTATAGAATACATGTTCTTGCCAGAGAGGCAGAGAGAGAGAAAGCAAGAAATCAGCCCCCAGGGGTGATAGCCACACCACTAGGAGGAGCCAATCCCTTCTCCTCCTTTCTCCTCTCAGGATCTTGGGCATGCGTGCACACACACCTGGCATGAATTTAAGCTACTGGGTCCAGGACTCCAACCATGGCCAACTATGTGGGAGTCCAGCGACATAACCATTATTCCATTTGCTGGTCCCTCCCCATGTTCTTTTAATGCTGTACTATCTTCCTAAATGGTTTAATTACTCCTACAGTTTCAGTTGTCATCTTTGATTGCTTTCTTGGAGAGGTTTTTTTTTATTTTCTTATTGGGCGCGTGCGCTCGCCAGGAAGACAGAGAGAGACCGAAAGACAGAAAGCGAGAAATCACCCCCTAGAGGGGATGGCCCCGCCTCAATCCCTTCTCCTCCATTCTCTTCTCAGGGTCTTGGGCACGCACACACATGTGCCTGGCGTGAGTTTAAGCCACCAGGTCCGGGACTCAAACCGCAGTCGACTACATGGGAGTCAAGTGACATAACCATTATGCTAACTGCTGGTCCCTGAATGTTTTCTCTATAATACTCAGTGACCTCTGAATTGTGTGCATGTAGTTCCACCTGCTGTACCAAACCACACAGATGTCTTAAGGCCCCTCAAATTTAACGTATTGAATACCTTTATTTTTGTTTTCAAGAAAGATTTTTGCTACAGGGCATGTGCACTCGTCAGAGAGATGGAAAGCTAGAAATCACCGCTCCCCCCCCTGGGGTGGGGGTGGGGGGATAGCCATGCCATAATCCCTTCTCCTCCATTTTTGTCTCAGGATCTTGGGCACACATCCACACACACCCAGTATGAGTTTAAGCTGCCGGGTCTGGGACTTAAACCATGGTCACTATGGGAGTCCAGTGTCAGCTGATCCCATTGGACACCTTTTTGATTTGCTACACCTAAGTACTTGTCCTTACTTCTGGGTTTGGTTAATGGCATCCTTTGTACTTTCACCTTCTTCCTTCTCGTTTCACACACTCTTGCTTCTCTTACAGTCACCATTTTGCTTTCATTGTGTTTTGTC